TGCATTTCACCTAATTCCGCCCAGTTTCGGAGTCGGGGCTCGGGCTGTATCCGCTGCATTCGTGTGCTGGCACGCAAGTCTGAGAGTTGGCATCGGAATTGGTGTGCCAGCCGAAACACACGAAACGAAATTTATTTCTCAATTCCCACTTCAATTTCGCAAATTGAATGAAAAAGCGCTTAAAAATATACAAAAGCAGCAGCAGCAGCAGCAGCAGCCAACCAGCCAGTCAGACCCACAGTACCCAAAAATAAAGTAACAAAAGGGTGCCGGGGCTGGGACGGGGCCGAGGCTGGGGATGTGAAGAAGGCCATGGCCAGGATCGGTAGCGCAAGAAGAAAAAAATAAAAGGCAAACGAACAACGAGCAGAGCGAAAGGAAATCTTACAAATAAAACGGAAGTTAATTTACTACGTAAACCGAAAAGCATGGCGCAGCCACATCCGGTGAAGCGATGGTGGGCGCAAGCGGTGTGGCAAGGGCCTACGCTGCAAAGAAATACTACAGCTGGGACCGAGCGCCAGCCAGCCAGCCAGGCAGCCAGCGGTTGGCCATTTAATTGGCCAAGTTTGTGCTGTGCTGCACTGCTGCAACCGCTGACTGTCGCTGAAGGTGGCCAAATATTTGCTCATGCAACAGACGCGACTCAGACAGAGCGAGGTAGGCGAGAGCTTGGACAGGTGCAGCTCACACTTAAAACCGCTTATTACGTTAACAATTGCGAATATCGGCGCGAAATGAGAGCGCTGAGCGCCCCGAGCACAGCAGCAGACAGGATTACTTTGCATAATTTTAGGGGCATACAAATAACAGCTAGCAATACCCTGAAACACACTCGCACACATGCACACAAAGGCACACCAGCATGTGGCTTTAGGTTGCGGGTGTGCCAATGAAAACGGAAGGAAATTTCACTAGCCAAATGCAGCGGAGGCAGCCGCAGCCGCAGCAGCAGCAGCAGCAGCAGCCAGGGGAATAGTTAAGACCTGTTTGGCTATGTCTTTGTGTGTGCCTGTGTGTGGGTGTGCTGGTGGAGGCGTGTCAGGCAACAAAGGCGCATTAGAGCGATAGCACCGGGGCCAGCACAAGTATTTGTTATGCGGTAAAAATGCATAAAAATCCCGAGACCGGCATTTATTTAAATTTATGCCGTTATAACGTAATTTTGCATTACCCCAAAAAATGATGGCGTCTGCTACCCCAAACGCCATTTTATTCCGCTGCATATGTGTGTGAGTGTGTTAGGGTGTGTGTGTGTGTGTGTGTGTGTGGCACACTTTACCCAGCCATTTTTATACAAATTTCTGCGGCCGCCTGTAGCTAAAAAGTACCATTTCCATTTTTATTTTTGACTAAATATTTGCAATTGTTAGTTTTTATATATTTTTATCTATTTCTATAAGCGCAATTGTATTTACAGGCTATATATATATAGTTTGCTACTTCTTTTTAGCATTTCAATTGTTCATACATCTGCGTGTTGTGTTATATGTATATTTGTTGCCTTCTTTTTCGGCTGGCGTTGCGGCTCTAACTCTGGCATAACACAATGCAAAAGCCGTTCATTTGTTATGCATATGAAGTAGACCAAAACAGCGCTTGGATTGCGGCAACAACAAAGGCATTCCTGTTAGCTGACTGAATATGGTGCTGGCGGTGTTGGAACTGCAGTCCAAATGCTTGGCAAATTGGTGAGGCGCTTAAGTGCGGTTTCCGCTAGCACAAACAAAGCCGAATTACAATGGCCAAACTAATATGCCAAACTATTCAAAATTAAGAATTACATTACCAAATGCCACCGCGAAGTTGGCTTCATAACTCTAGTTGCGTCATGTTCTGAATCACATTATTAAGCGACTTAACATCTAGACTTAGACATCATAATTTGAATACAATCGACAAGGATTACTTTACCTTATCACAGACTTCCGTCCAACAAAAATTAATTACAGACCGAAAGCAAACACGCTGGCGTCTTACAGATTGCAATTGGCTGCAGTAGAGAGTAGGGAATCTAATTTGTTAATCCGTTCGACACGTCGATTGACTCGGTGCCAATTACTTCGAAAACCCCAAGCACGCGTCACAGTTAAAAGCTGCTCAGCTGCCTAATCCTTGACTCGGCTTTGGGGGTGGAGCTGGTGGATATTGCTCTGAGACTGGTTTGGCATCCAGCATGGCAGGAGGCATTCAATCAAATCTAACTGTAACGCCATAGCAGTGTCTTCTGCTGCTGCTGCTACTGCTGCTGTTGTTACTCTGTGCTTCGAATACAAATTAGGCAAAGTGATGGCCACCCACGACATGCTTGAGCCAAGCAAATAGACACGCCTCCAATCAATGAGCAGTACAACGACATTCTTGTCGACGCTGCCATTGATGAAATCGACTTAATTTAAATTCAAACTAATTAATTAAATGCAACTGCATCTGCTTGACTGATTCAAATGCCTGCTTGCAGCCGTCTAATGCACTCCATAAAGCCATTTGTCTGCCTTCACCTGAATAAATATATGTATATGCTGTGCTGTGTAGTATGTGGATTGGTATACATAACAACTACCGCTGCTTAAGCTAATTAAACGCACAATTTGTGTGTCCGGGCCAGTCCTCTAACGGTCGTAACATGGGCCAAGTGCTCACATACAACATATGTGTCAATATCTCACTCCAGACAGCATCAACTTTAACCCCTCTCTCTCTCTCTCTCTCTCTCTCTCTCTCGCCCTGTGCTATGGCGGGCGGGCTGGCGGGCTGTCGGGCAGGCATTCTGGGAGCACAGGCAATGGCAGTTTCAATGATTTTGTTTAGCTCAGTGAATCGGAGAATTGAGTTCAACACACATATGCCACGTGTGTCTGTGAGCTCTGCAATGCCACACACGAACGCAACGAGACATTTGAATGTCTGTCATGAATTGATACCAATTTGCAATTGTTAATGAAACGCTTTGTGCTGTGCCGATTGCATTGCAGCAACGCCACGCCTCCAAGGCAAAAGCCCAGCTCACACCCGATAATATGAAACTGAAACGATATCCCATATACATATACATATACAAGCACACACACACACATTTACCCGCCTCCGGGTGCACTTCAATCTTCGGCGTTCATTTCACTTTCCAAGCTTTCTTTGACATTCGAGTTACAATTTGGCCAAGTTTGCGAATGTGTGTATTTCGATGTGTTAATGTGTGTGTTTGTGTGGGTGGCAACATTGAAAGTCTCCCAGGATAGCCACACCTCCTGCTCTCGGCATGTGTGTGTGCGTGTGTGTGTGTGTGTCGAAATGGCCAGCTTGCTCGTGTGCTTTTGCTCATTTCAATTTTGTAATTGAGAATAGCTCTTGGGAATAATGGAGATCAGATCATTTAATTAACTTTGTTTTCGAGCACATCGAATCCTGCAGCTGCTGCTCATCTTCTTCTTCTGCCATAGTGTCAAGTGCCTGCAATTGTCCGTGCGGGCGCCTTTTGTGCTGTCTGTGCGCAACTGATTGAAGCTGCCAGCGTCCAAACGCAATAATTTTACGACTGCTCCTTGGCTGCTGCTTCAGTTTGGCTATTTCGTTGTTGTTGGCGGTGATGGTGGGATTGTTGTTGCCTCGTCCATCTACTTGAGAGATGCCAGTTAATTTTCTGTGGGCCAATTTCATTTGTTAATTTGCATTACGAATATTGCAAGCATTTTGTGGTCAATTTTCAGTATAATTTGCTCAAAGTGCTGCTATTTCAAATACCCTGTAGATGGTCAAGATCATTAGTGATATGATTTCATTGCATAATGGTATGCTATACAGAATGTTAAGAGTATATAAATATAAATTAATATATTGATATAAATTTACTTCTTAAAGATCTATGAAAGAAGTGAGAGCTTCGAGTGCTTTGTCTCCGATGTAGTCCAAGATCTATTTTTTACAGAGATGAAGCTTAGCTTCTCTTATCTCCATCACCTTCATGACCTCTTACAGGGCATTTTGTAGCCACGCTCCTCAAAAGAGCTTCATTGTTCACTTCTTGGGCTTCTTTGAAGCTGGTATGTTAAAAATGTGGTTGCTCGTTGCAGTTGCTAGTTTCAATTTGCTGTTGAAGTGCACGTCAAGCAGCCGTAGAGATATTTCGGGTCCATGCATCTCATTTACATCAGCTAAGTATTGTGTTTTCTCTGGCTCTTTGTTGGCTGCTGTCTCAGTTTTCTCAGCCCTGTCAGCCGCTTTTATTTTGCACAATTCATTTTCTCATTTTCAAATTGCATTCAGCTGTTTGTGCTTAAGCGCTGTCATGGGTATTCAAACTTACTGTTTTTTTGAATAATTTTATTTATATTTTCACTCCAGAGAAGTTTTACAGGCAACCAGTGTTTATGCAGCCATGGAGCTGCCTCGACTTTTGTCATTCATTTGTTTATTTAGATTTTTCCTTCTTTCACTTCAAACGCTTGTCGAAAGTACAGTAAAGCGTCCCTTATACCCTCCGGCCAGACAATTGATGCCTCTGTCTGAGTCTTCTGCATAGTACGACTTGTGTTTTAATTAAAAATATCTGCACACTGCAAGCAGGCGTCTCTGCAACACATGACGGCCCAAAGGTGCGGATATTTGTTTGCTTTCGGGCACAACTTATGCAGCTCTAGACTTTTTCTGCATTGCTCATTAAAAAAGCGGGTCATATGGAATAAAATTAAAGAAAAGAAAGCTCAACATTGTTAACGATAGTTGCGAACAGCATGGATACTATCAAAAAATCCTATATACCTTTAATCTCCGATTTATTTATATCACAGCCAGGCCAAGAGCCATTGACAAGCCAATACATGATGCAGAGTCTATCGAAAAAAACCAATAAATAATCTAAAAATTAGTCAACATTTAGATCGCCTGTCCAACAACAGCGCGTTTTTATTACCATTGAAGGACTCTTGCAGCAAATGCCACAGATTCAATGGCCTTTGTTAAACAGGCTATTTATCTGCAGGCAATTGGTTAGGCCCTGGTGGAGCACAGAGTAGGGGCGCTGGGTGGTTGCGCATGGGTGTGGCGTTTACAGTTGAGTTGTGCAGTCGAATGCATTTGGCAGATCAAACGAAATGCGATTACGCATACGCAGCGTGCGCCGCCTGGCGCTTAGTGGGCATTGGGAGAAGGTTGGTGGGTGGGCTGCAACGGCTGTGACATCTGTGCGGTTAATTAGGCTCTGGAAAATCGTTGCACGCCATTTTGTTGTCAGAATTTGCGTACCTGCAGCGCTGGTTTTTGACAGTTGGCCATTTGGTTGCTCTCAAATTGCACGGCTCATTAAATTTCAATGGAGCGCTAGGCGCTATCTGTGGGCCGCATATGATGTGCGCTACGATTTACCGCTGCATACTTCCAGGCGTCGAGTTGTGTCGGCAACTCGCCCGCCATGCCTACTTTTAGGAGGCAGCGACGCCAGGCCACACCCAGTCCCAAGCGCGACATGCCACTGCTAGAAGGCGCCAAAAAGTTGTCGCAACTTTTTGAATGCCTTTTGCGTTAACTTCTTGGCGCGAAAAGTTTGCTGTAAAATACTTTGCGCAAATATTGTTTTCGCATGCTTTTGTTGCGCTAAGCGCTCTACGAAACTGTGTAGCCCAGTGTAGCTGGCGCCCCCCTCTTGGCCCCCAACTCCAGATGCTGCACAGTAATTCAACTCTCTTGCAACGTAAATTGTATCAATGTGCGCTGTCTTTTCAAGAGTTTGCTGCTACTTTTTGCTGTGTCTTCTCAGCGTTGAGCCTCCCCTCCACGCACTCTTCCTGCTTTTCTTCTCTTTCTCTCTCGTTGAGCTTTTGTTTCCGCCCTACGCTTTGCCATGTATTGGCATTTTCAACGCTTATTTGTATCGTTTTCGCTCACTTTGTTGTTGCTTTTGTCATGGCTCGAGCTGTTGTTGCGGTTGCCAGTGCAACGTGCAACGTGCAACTTGCAACCCTTCTTGTTTGCCTCAGATTTTTGCCATTTTGCCTGCTGCTCTTTTCGACAATTTCCTTAAAACGCAAACTTGAAAAACTTGCACGAAATATTTGCGGTGCTTGTTTTCTTTATTTTCCTTTGCTTTCCTATTCTTGGGTTTTATTTTCACTATTTCTATTTTTTGCCTGAAAGTTTTCAAATCAATTGTGCCATCGAGTTTGTAACAATGACAAAAACCTTTCAAAGCGGATGCCATATGCTATGTGCTTCATATTTAATACAACAATTCGAACAATATAAATTGAACACTGTATTATTAGAGGAGTTTTACTGTACAGCGAGCCCTGGCACTAACGACGACGTGCCACGGGCTGTAGTATGCCCTGAGTAATCGACAGTAGATGTTACCTTAAAAGAATTCTAAATATTTCACTTCTTAAGACATAACTCACACGCGCTCGCTTCAATATGGAATCCTTGTGGACATCGTATGCCTGCTGCTTCGAGGGTATCTCCAGCACAGTGGGCACTGGCAGCAGATGCTTGTCTATGGTGTCACGTATCATATCCGCATATATCTGATTGATCATTATAATGGCAATATCCTCGCGTGCCACAAAGCGCTTGAAGCACTTGTCAATGGCCGCAGCGCTGGTGTCTGCAAATCAACAAGAACAACACAAAGTTTTAAGCTACTTTCAAACTATGAAAGTGGATAATTATGCAGCTGCTGACAGACTACCTTTCTCGACGACCATAAAGTTGGGTTGACGCTCTTCGTTTATTTCGCCAATGCCGCCAAGCAGAAATCCCACGCAGGTGTCCTGCAAGAAGACGAATGAGAGCGAATGTAGAAGGAAAGAGAACGAGAACAGTTAGCCCCCACCTCGTCGCCTATGACAGCCATGAGTTTACCATCTTCGAAGGAACTATTTGACATTTTGATTGTATAGAGAATGCTGCACTTACAACGAGAACTAGCACAAGTAAACGTAATTTATAAATCAAAGAAAATTCAATGATATACTGATGGTTTTTATTAACAGAATTTCGATATATATCAACCAAGAAATTTTGTTTGATAAAGAAACCTCAGCTCAAGAATTTGTCGAAGGTTCGGTTAAAATTCTAAGCCACAATGAAATAAGCATTGTAAATAGTCAATCATTTATAACTCTATAAATAAAAATAAAATTCATTTGAAGTTATGTCATATTTATGTCAACCAATGAGTCGAAATAACTTTGCTTCAAGCGAACATAAAGTTGATATAATTGACATTCAAAAAAAAATATATTTAATAGCTAACAGCCTTCAAAATGCAATAAATCAATTCAATTTAAGCCAGATTATGGAATGAGTTTTATTGAAATTGAATATTTAAATAGGCAAATAATTAAAGCTATTTTTTAATTATATATGGCGGAAATTTGAATTAGAATTTAAGCAAAATTCTTTTTTCCTATACAAAAAAGTTTTTAAGTAGATTAAAAAAGTATTTAACCCTACTTTCTGATACCTTTAAATTTATACGATTTTAATTAGATGTGTTTAAAAGTTAAGCTAATAAGTCCAAATCATTTGATTACCTATCAAAACCGGCTTAAAGTCTAAAAAAATCCGCAAGGCAAATATATAAATTGAAGAATCGTCGAAATTTCGCAGTCATCAAAAATGCTGAAAAATGAGCAGCAGCGATTCAGTGTTGATTTGTGAAATAATTTTCACTGAAATGCGCTATTTCAAAAATAAAATAAAAAAAAAAAGAAAAATAAAAAATAATAAAAAATAAATAAATAGAGAAGAAAAGGCGGGCGTTGCTGCACTTGACAGCTGTGGCGCATTTGATGGCAAATCGTTGGTTGCACTTAGCTGTTGCTGTTGCAGTTTCAGTTGTAGCTGCTTTTTATTTTCGTTTTGTTTTGTTTTGGTAGCTATGTGAAGCGTAAAACAAGTTTTATAATTGTTTAAAATGTTTGCTGCCAACGTCCATTGCAATGCAATTTTATAACGAATTTTGTCAGTTGCTGCTCGAAACTTAATCGAGAGCAACAACAGCAACAAACATCAGCTACAAATTTTGTGCCAAAACATTTGCAGCTGCCCCCCGAGTGGCCCCAACGCCTTGACTTGCTGCCACGCCCATTGTGCTTTTTACGCAATGTTGCGCTCGAAAACTTTAATGCTGCGACAGCTCCTAATTGGATTAGATAACTTCTCAAAAGGGTTTAACACACACGCACACGCACACACACACACACATGCAGCCGTACGCACACGCAGATAGCCGAAAGCGCACATTACGCATACGCCGCATTGTCTCTCTGGCAAAGTGAATCGTTTCAAATCCAAAGCCGGTTATGTGCACCATTATACCTTTACTTTTCCCTGCCGTTGCTGCTGCTGCTGCTGCTGCTGTTGTTATTGTTGTTATCTCATTTGCGTTACGTAGATCCAAAGCAACAACAAGCCCTAAAAACCTTTGCGCTACATTTTGCTAATCGTTGAACAAACTTTCAACAATGGCACTTTGCCCTCTGCTCTGCTCCCGAAAACAAAACGTTTTCGAACTCCAATCGATTTTTCAAATCAGCTCTAATTGTTTACATATCATTGGTTACCTCAGTGTTGTTGTTGTTGTTGTCGTGTGGCATAACTAATTATGATTAATGTATCGCCGTTAGCCCGCGACATTTACAGTTAATTAATAATTGACAGCTGGCTGGCCAAACACACATGTGCTTCATATGCGTGCACAGAGCTGCGAATAGTTATTGCAGCGCCCAGAGGTGCATTGAACCTTTGCACTCTCTAACCAATTCGCGTTGCTGACGCACCAATTGCCATCAATTGGCAAATTCAATACGCCGAACGAGAACCAATTCAAAACTTCCACTTCGTAGCCCCAATCCAAATTCACGCTTGCCGCCTGACCTTTTTTCACTGCTCTCTATAGACAGCAACTCACGTTGGCTTTGCTGTTTGCTGTTAGCCAGTCGTTCAGCTAACTAACCAGCCGTTGCTGCTGTACAAGCAAGGGGGCAGGCGGCATTTTATGCTACCGGTTTTTTTCTTTTTAGTTTATTAACTGGCAACAGCAGACAACAACAACAACAACAACAACAACACAAACAAACTGTGACTTCAGTGGCTTTTGGTTTTTTAAATATGGTCATGGTGGCATCTAATATGGTGCTGCCTAGAAAATTTTCACTTATGCCCGGCACGTTTTGCCTATTTTCCTCTTAAGCACTAAATGCTTTGGGTCAAGCTCTCGAAATTGTTGAAAATTGTGCTTGCATATGCCAGGCGAGACGAGGATTAACCAGAGAAGGCGGGGCGACAACATGTTGTTGCTGCTAACTAGGTGTTTCGATGTTTCGGTGTTTTCTCTTTTTGATTAGAATAAATATGTGCCAAAGGCCCATGTAGAATCTCAACTTGCCTACCACAGCTCACAATGTGGCTTAGAAATGGGTTTATCGATAAACAAGAGCTGCATTTACAGGTTTATAGCTCGGCAAATGGGAGCTACGTTAAAGAGCATGTGTAATGCGTGTAAGACCACAACAGAAGCATTCCAGTTGATAGCCATGAAATTCGAATCGAATTGTAGCTTAGCTACTCAAACAGCTCGCCTCCAAGTGTCAGTGAGTCTCTGATTTCTGATAACAATTCAGCGTGCTTTTGTGCACTTTAAACTGAATCGTCTTTGCTGACTTCCCAATGACCTGTGGCACTATGTGAAATGCTGATGGTAAATGCTTAAGACCCCATCCCAAAACTAAAGACACATAATAAGCATTTGGATGACTCAGATGCTGAATACGTTTTGAATCAGGTGCAGACATTTCAACACTTCAATCAGCCACCTGTCACCCCCACATATAATGCACTGAGTTGCGGGTTCACATTCCGGCACATTGTGGCCATTGCTCTTGTTTATCTATGCCTTTCGCCCTTTCATTTTTCACGTTTTTTTTGTTTTTCGAACTTTAAAGGCACACACGCTTGATATTTATATAGTGCTTGAAAATAGCATAACATTTGCGGGCTTATATAATAGGAGTACGAGTGCGAGTACGATTACAGCTGCCATGCCAACTGGGTTCGTCGTCGGCGTCGTCATCGTAGTAGTCCGTGTTGTTGTCGTATGCACATCACGCAAATCAAGTCACACAAAATTCGCCTTACGCTTTCTTCTTGAACCTTTCAATGCGCGTATCACGCTGTTGCTGATGGTTGCTGCTGCTGCTGCTGCTGCTGCTGATTATTCAACAATTTTTATTGAAAGCTAAAGAGGCGTGCAAAAACATCAACTACAACAACATTAGCAAGAAAGCAATGAGCGAAATGTCAAATGCAGGCAGCAAGCAGAGAATACATAACAGCAAAGCGACATTAGCGACAACAGCAACAACAACAACAACAGCAACAGCCTCATCAATATGAACAGAGATGCCAGCCTGCCATTCACTTGGCAGCCCAGCAAAAGTCTATAAGCGATATACATTTATGTGTATATGTTAGTATGTGGCATTCACAATAGTTCGATTCAATCGAACTGTAAAATTAGCATAATGACATTATAATAAACCAGCGGCGATAAATGCAACATTTGACGGTTTGGGAAAGGTTTGGCAGGCGTCGAGGGCAAAGACCATTTTAAAGCCAATTCTACAACAAAATCTGTTGGTTGGCTGTGCGTGCGTCTGCATTTGCCTGTGTATGTGTGGGTGCGTAGAGTTAACTGTATAAATACTGCATTTGGTAAGGTAGAGTTGTAGCCAGTGGAAATGTGAAAGTCGACTGTAATTGACTAGATAATACTCTGTACTCAGAGAAGTCTATAAGCGTTGCCTGTCTTGCCTGCTACTCTTAAGAGTGAATGACGAGAGTCGGCTCATGCTATATGAATGTGTGTAATTAGCAAAAGAACCTTCTTGATATTGTTCAAACTGACTTTTAAGCTGTGCACTGAGCGCAGTCTTAAATTTATGATAAGTGATTCGAAACATTCGCAACAAACTCTACTTAATTATAAATAAACTGCTCTCAAACTGTCAATCAAACGCATTGACTGTCCAGCTGAGCTTGTAACTGTGGCTCAAGTATGGCAAATAAATTTGTATTTATTTTCACAGGCGTTGGTGTGCTTAAAGATAATATTTTTCACAAATTTTATTTATATTTATTTAGAGTTTTCAACATTTGCAATTAATTTCAATGGAATCATGAAATGGTCAAACTTTGGGCAAAAACCAATAAACTCATTTGCACTTGGCGAACAGTGTATAGAAATTCTGCATACGGCTGGCTGACAGCCAAAAATTGTGTCAAAATGCATTGAACGCAGTTTTATTTTGTTGGGTTGATAACCTCAGCCATGTCCAGCGAGTAGAGCCCCGTCCGCCCATTCATCCGTTTGGTCGCGCATGGCGCGTATTTGTCGATTCCATTGACGAACTGGGTCAGCATGTGGCCAACGGGGCGACAACCGTTAATAGAAAATGCATTAAAGCTAAATCGAGTGAAATATATGCTGAAGCGTTTGTTCCAATTCTGAGAGCATGCCACACATTAGTCTTAAGTAATGGCTCTCTGCCCATCACGTGGCGAATCAAAATTTATCAAAAACGTCACGTAATTACGAAGCAGCCGTCACCAATTGACAAACCCAAACACACACTTGCAGATACACATACACATACACATACACATACACAGCGGCACATAGAGAGTGATACAAAGAGACACATGCTAGAACCAAGCTGTGACTTCTTTTCAAATTCCCAGCCAGCTGCCTGACGAATTCACCAACAGATGCGTTTGATTTGTGTTGCTGCCCCGTGTTGCCGCCTGCCACAGCGTCTTCCACAGACTCAACGCCATTGTTGTCGTCTTGTATTGTATCTTATTTTATATTCCAATCACAAAAGGCGTTGTCAAGCCAGCGACAGCAGCGCCAAAACTTGTTGTTGTTGTTGCTGCCAGCCGAACCCGTCTCTGCCACTGAGCATGTGTGGGAGCAGGAGATTCTCAAGAAGTGATCGCCACGTCAGCTGCTCTTGGGTTTGGCAGCCTGCGGGGGCACGCACTTGGCACTAAGTGTTCCGCTGGAGCGTTGACATCATTTGAGATATTCAATACTTGACGCATTTCACGAAACGAAAAAAAGTTTTTATTTCGCCAGAAGATTTCAGTAAAAAAACAATTAAAACTAATCGATAGATGAGTTCAGTTTACAAACGATAAAAAGTGGGTATTTTTAAGTTATATAATCCATGGCTTCCCTAGCGTTTTTGCACAAAGTTCTTTATGAAAACACACTTTGCCAGCAGGCAATTGTGGGTATGGCTGCTAATTCCAAGCCTCGTCTTGAAAGCTCTTTAATAATAATTAAAAATATATATTATTGTTTACAAGCAATAAGAAACCAGTTTCCCATATCTTAGCTTAAAATTGATTTATCTAAAAATATCATCAATATTTGCAACGCTCTTGGCGATTGGCTTCGCCTGCTAGCCAAGCCCTGCAGACTTATAATATATATGTTTTTGTTCAATGCCTCAATTGGTTTGACTTTCGATTGGATGACACAGCAGAGTCAGCTCTGTGGTTAACATTTTATAGCCCATCACATGGCTGCTGTTGTTGTTGTTGCTGCTGCTGCTGGCTGGCTGAGGCGCAGCTTACGCTAAACATTTTTCAAATGGCTGCCGCTTAATTGCCCATTTAAATTAATATAAATTTCAATTTGTGTGCACGCACATACAGACACCCACACACGCGCAGTGTTTTTGTCGAATGGCTGGCTGGATTGGCAATATGCTAAGCACAATGTGCATACCACATGTTGCCAGCACCGCCTGTCACCTCAACGCCTCAGCGCCACTCCAGCCTCCTTTCATCCGCGCGACACGCGAGCTGTAAAAGAAATGTGAATATCAGCGCTTATAATACGCATGAAAATGAAATAAAATCGCATTTTTGTGATTGATTGAAGCATGAGTAATGAAAAATTGAACGCGCAGCAGGCGAAAGGTGCTGCTTGGCGGGCAGCTGTGGGTGGGGAGGTACGTGTTATGTATATGTCTGCATGACTCTGATTTTATGCACTACATTACCTTTGGATTTCAATTTGAAGCAAATCAGGCAGCAATTTACCTAAATAAAAAGAAAATATGATGAAAAACTGCAAGCACATGGGATCAACAGCAAGAAGAAGAAAAAAAGAGAAAGAGCTTTTCTTTAATATTTTTTTCTTCTCTTAATAAAATTGTATACAATTGAATTGAATTGAATTGAATCGAATTAACTGTGTGTGTGCAGCTGCAGGACATATCCTTATCTGTTATCTATATATAAATATCTCAATCTAAATACAAATCGCTGGCTGCTGCCTGATGACACGCACGTAAGCTGACGCTGAAGACAACAAAACTTCCCACTAGGCAAACAGCAATGACAACATCAATACAAAAGGCGCTGCCGGGGCTGAGGGGGAGGAAGTACAGCTGGGCGAGGGCTAGTGGAGGGGGGCGATGCGTCTAAGCTAAACAAAAGTTACGAGCCATATTAAAATGTCATCGTGTCAATGGTGCAGACGCTTGACCAGCACAACAGAGAGCTCTCGGAGCGACCAGCAACTAACGACGACATGATGAAGCGTAAACAAACATGTTCAACTAGCAGACAGACGGCGGACTCCATAGGGGTGTCTGTATGTGTGTGGTGCGGTGTGTGTGTGTGTGTAAAGTAAAACAAAATGAAATTTTACTTTGCATTTGAAATGATTTCCAGCAGCTGCAGCAGTAGCTACGTCTCTCGTTCACACACATGCTGCAGATTTTTATTTGTATTTCAAATGTTTTGTGAAAGTGCCAGCAGCATTTGAGGCCAGAGTCCATTTGCTAAACGTACTACGAATCCGCCTCTCCATCTCCATACCCCTAGCAGTATTTTTTATTTGTGTGATTTTTGCAGGCTCGTAACTTCGACTCCGAAACTCAGCTTGTGCAGAGGCTGAGAAGTTGGCGACTCCCCAAACAAAAAAAAAAAAACAAAAAATATTTAGAAAAAAAAAGCTCCACAAACTAACGTTTCGGCAGGGTACGGGCAGAGGACATGGGCGGCACATGACTTTCAAATGCTGCAAGTTGTAGCAGGAACTGTAGCTGGAACTGTAGCTGGGAGTAGATGACCCGCATGAAAATGCTGGCCCTGGCATATTTTTATGCCGCAAGCATCCAGGACAAATGGCTGAAATTTTTGCTGCTGCGTCGCTGTTGATGATGATGATGATGATGCCAACGACCAGCAGCAGAGGAGCAACAATGCCACTGGGCAATGGGCAATGGGCAACGTGGCTGCCTGCAGTTAGTTCCCGACATGTGTACGTGGCTGGCCTGCATCAGTTCAGCTTGACGCCAGAAGAGAGAGAGAGAGAGCAAAAAAATCTAGTGACTGCTCCTTAGCTAGCTCGGACATATTTTCTTGCAGCAACCTTGATGTGGGCTGGGGCACAGTTTAGGCAGTGCCCGGCAAAAATATAGAGAAATTGAACAAGTCGTTTGTCGGTGGCCCTAGAATTTATGTGAGTGCAGCGCGCTGCCGCTCGAGTTGAAAATTAAACATTGCGTATACGCCTAGGTGCATAATAATTCATGCCTGGTCCAGGCAGGCACGCTGGCTGGCAGGCCGGCAGGCAGGCAACTGCAACGAAATTGTGTGTAAAATGTTTTAATATGAGCTCATAATATACGAGCCAAAGACAAAGAGCAAGAGACAGGCGGCCGCAGCACAGGGCAGGCGAGGCTCAATTTCTGATTTATTGGCAGCCGAAGAAAACAAAAATCAAAAAAACATATATATATGTACACCACATGCTGCTCGTTGGGCAGAAAGTGCTGTAAGTGTGTGTTTGTTGTCGGCTCGAAAAAATGTTATTGTTTAGTTTTTGGCTGTTTTGCTGCTGCCACTGCTGCTGGTCAAGGCCTTCGATATATATGCCTAAAATGGCTGCCATCCGGATATCCTGTGCCACACAGCCTGCATGCATACGATGTCCAATTGAATTTGCATTTGGTTTCTACTACCAAACGCAAACAACAAAAATACCAGCAAAAAAAAAGATGAGTCTATGCATTGCATGCAAACAAACGCAAAGCATCGTGTAGTATTCCATGTAGCTTTTGGCATTTACTTCTTTTTTGTTTTAAATTGCCATAAGACTTTTCAGTTGCTTTTTTTTGTAAAGTTTTATTCGAGGGAACAACAATGAAATTCTATGATGTTGACTTTATGCTTTTGCCCATTTTACAAAAGTTAAACAAGGTTAACAAGCTGTAACTCTAAGCAAGTTAAAGTTCGATTTTTTAATTGTGATTTTAAAGCGTTTCAAAATTTTCCCGCTAATCTAGATTTTTAATTGCTTAAGACTTATTATACATTTATTTTAAATTAGTATAAAAAATTCAAATTTTTCTCAAAAACATTTTTATTTGAATTTAAATCTCAGTGCTGTGCCTTGCTGCGCTTTGCATGCGAGTTTCTTTTTTCATTTTAAACAATAAAATTGAATATTTTCAATATATGTTTGAGAAAAAATGCATTTGTGAAGCGTATTGCAAATATGTTTCAACCGTTAAATAAATACTAGACCAGGTAGTGGCAGGTGGGTGGTGTCTATGCCCCACAGCAGTTTGTTCAATTTATGGCATCAAAGTTTGAAACGATAACTGAAAATGTTGACCCTTGAAAAGAGTCGCAGGCTGATGGCCGCCCCATAAAATGCTCTGTGCCCAACGAGGAGACATTTTACATATTCATATATTTTCCAAACATTTTTATGTGGATTTCTTTTTGTTTTTGGGTTTTATTGTTAGTTGCGTGGCTAAAAGCAGTGGCTGCCAACTGCTTCGTGGCACAAGGGGCTCAAACTGAGCATGCAAAATGTAATTGTTGCTGAAATAGAGAAAGATCCGACGAAGCAGACATTGCAACAATCAAAATAAATTGAATACATTTATTTAATACAATTAAATAAATTCATAAAACACTTAAACCACACACACGCTTATGTTATTGAACATTAAAATAGATTAGATCAAAAGCCATAAATTTTATTTGCCTGGCTGGCTCATTTATAAACCTTTCACCGACTACGTCTCTGAGCTTGGGTTTAAGAACCGCGAGACACCAATGTCAGCTGCAACGTGAATTCCCTCAGGAGTTGCGCCGTTTTAGCTGCTGTTGTTGGAGCTGGCAATTTGTGGATTTTGTGCACCGCCTGCCGTTAATTACACAAATACAAAAGTCCGCTGGGCTGAGCCAAATTGGTTGGTAATAAATAAATTCAATTGAATAATTTATTTAATTTATTTGCGGCTCTGCTGCCGTGACAAAAAAAAATATAAACAAACTGTTTTTGTTGTTATTGTCATTGCTGCTGCTGTGTGGCAGGTAAAAATGGCAGCGAGTGCCCAAAACAGGCCAACGTTTATTTTTTCATTGCGGAAGTGTGCAGCAAATGGCCGGCGAGGTGTTAGAATTTGCAGCAGCTAAAAAAATACAAAAATAAAAAAACAAAACGCCACACATATTTCAGCGTTCACGTGTGTGTGTTTGAGGCAGCGACCAAGTAAATTTGTGGCACAAAAACAAATCGTTTAATTGGCTCAAACAAAACGTAACCACTATGTACTAAAGCCACCGACGTCGCCGCCGATTATATAACACCAGGCCAAAACCAACCAACGCGCGGCCCAAACAATGCCGTTGACAGCAGATTCGCTGCCGCAGTCGACGTCGACATCACAGTCGCTGTCGCAGTCGTCGCCGTGGCCCAAACCCAAACCAGTTTGCTACACTTACCCGTTTTTTTTTTTCTGTTTTCTTAAGAGCAAAACTGACGCAAGGGTACCAACGGAGCAGCAAAAGCAGCAACTCCACCTCCACCTTCACCACCGCCGCACCACTTGCACCACTATTGGACAATCCCCATCCAGTCCGACAACGGGTTTAGCATGTTATTCACTTTGGCGTCTTGGCTTTGGTTTATTATCTAGCCACAGCCGATTGGCCACACACAAATTATGAACAGAAATCTCGGCTCGCTTGGCACATTCGCACACAGGCCCTGCCAGAAGTCGGTCCAGTTCCAGTCGCAGTCGCAATCGCAATCGCAATCGCAATCGTAATAGTCTCAGTGTAGAAATGAAAGTCAACGCTTTATTGATCAGCATTGCAGTTGTGTTGGCAGCAGTTGCCGTTGGCCAGGTAACTGGACTTGCCCTTGGCTAGGTCGACTGAGCCTTCATATTCACAACTTCCTTTCAGGTCAGCGCCAAGTTTCAGATACGCACGCACGAGGATGCGGTGCAGGCGCATGAGGAATGCCAGGAGAAGTTTAATGTGCCCGAAGACATTTACGAGAAGTACCAGAATTATGAGTTCCCAGAGCATCGTCGCACCGCCTGCTATGTGAAGTGCTTCGTGGAGAAGATGGGCCTCTTCAATGAGAAAAGTGGCTTCAATGAGAAGGCAATTATAGCGCAGTTCACGTCGAACAACTTCAAGGATCTGGAGCCAGTGCGTCACGGCCTTGAGAAGTGTATTGATCACAACGAAGCAGAGTCCGATGTCTGCACCTGGGCCAATCGCGTCTTCTCCTGCTGGCTGCCCATCAATCGCCATGTCGTGCGCAAGATTTATGCTTAAGCTACAACTAATTAAGTATGTGATAAATCCAAAATAAAAAATTGTTGTTCAAATAAAAGAAATAACAAAAGTTGACCCACTACAAGCTGCTTTGGGTGCTTTGGGCTCAAGTGGTGCTCAGCAGCTGCCTCAACTGCTGGGATACATTGAACCCGTGTGCGCTGGCTTAATCTGAGCTGCCTGATAAGTAGTTGCTGTATGTTGACAAGCTGCGACACGAGCTCAGCGCTTGTAGACGGGCAGTAGTTGAGATTGTGCACTCCGAGTGTTGAGATGCGTCTGGCTGTCGGCTTATTGACCTTGTGGTGCGCTGCGGTGCGTCTACACAGCAGCAGTTAGTGCCGCATCTTTTAAAACCAACAATCCCCACGTTTTGCAGGCTTTTGCCGATCTCACGGGCGATGCGCAGATTTTGGACAAATGCCTGAAAAGCATCAGCAGCCCGGAGCGCATCGAAAGTGATCTGCGCAAGCTGGCGAACTATACAAGCTGGACCAGCGAGGAGGTGCCCTGCCTGATGCGCTGCCTGGCCAGCGAGAAGGGCTGGTTTGACAGTGATACCAACAGATGGAACAAGCAGCGCGTGGCCCAGGAGCTGGGCGCCGATATCTACAACTATTGCGACTACGAGCTGCTGCGCAAGTCGCGTGACGCCTGCAGCTTTGCGCATCGTGGCTTGCGCTGCCTGAAGCAAGCTGAGCTGTACGCGGGCAACAGCATCTCGACAGTGATGCAGTGCAGCGTCCAGTTGAATGCCACCATTGGGCAGATGGTGCAGTACAGCGAACTGAAGCCCAAGGAGTCCATACCGTGCCTGTTCCAGTGTTTCGCCGATGCAATGAGCTTTTACGACGAGGCGGGCAACTGGCGTCTGCTCAACTGGCAGCAGGCCTTCGGCCCGACCCATGTAGAGCACCAGCCGGACTACAGTCCGTGCCGCACCACCGATGAGCAGCGTCGCTTGGCGAGTAGCAAATGCGCCTGGATGTACGATGAATTTCTGTGCTGGGAGCGAGTCAATGGAAATCATAATGGAACGAATCTGGTTTAAGCACACTTTCGATTCCGAACTAAACTTGTTTCAGACCTTGCACCTCGAGTGCTAATTGAATTTCATAAACATTTGCGTTATCTTTGTCAGTTGCGTATTATATTTAGCCCGTAAGCTGAGATTATTGAGATATTCTCTTTTATTATTAGCATCTAAACGGCTACCACATAGCAGTTGAACTGCTGGTAAATGGTGGCACAGGGATTGCGCGCGCGACGTTGGGCACAGCCGGCTGTATGGGCGCCCACGAGGGGCACGCCCAGCGACTGACGCATGGCGGGTAGACGCCAGCGGCGGGTGCGTTCGTCGAATAGCTGCATCTGCGAGATGAAGCAGCGCGTAAAGCACGGTATCGGCTCTGTCAGCGGAAACTGGGCGTAGTCACCAATGCGACTCCATTCGACCTGGTCCACCTGCTGCAGGCACTTCTTCATCGCCGACTTAGCGCTTCGTGTGACATTGGGCATCTTTTCGATCAGTATGAACGGATCGTTTTCCAGCTGCAAAAAAAAAGACAACATATATAGTAGAAGCGACGCAAGCAGCTGTTATCAGCTGCGGGTTCAGTGGCCCACAGTCTGGCTTATCGCACTCACGCTGACAATGCAGTGGAAGCCCGCATAGGCATGCTCGCAGCTGCTCTCCTTCTGATCGGCGCCCAGCTTGAGCCGCTCTTTGCACGCCTCGAAGACGGCGTCGCCGAAATGCTGCCTGATGCGACGCTCGTCGAAGCCCGCTTGATCGTGATAGAACTCGAACAGGTCATTCAGATAGCACTGCGTGAAGCAGGGCAGCTCCTCAGAGCTATCCGACCATTGGGTATATCGCTCCAGACGTCCCGCATTTTCCTCATTGAGTCCTCCATAGCTGCGCAGACACTTCTCGATGGTGCGCTGCTCGCCGCTCAGCAGCGTCCAGCTCGGCAGCTGCAAAGACGCTGGCTGATTAGGAAAGCTTTATATTATTACTTTGCATAGGCTAATATAATTACGAAACAAGTAATTCCACCTAACAACAGATAATAAAAGCAGACGAGGCTAAGCACCTTTCAGTGCCATTGACATTGCCTACAATTTCCGCAAACATATCAGGTAAATAAAAAATTGAAACAAAAATTATAAAATAATCCTAATTGAAATTTACTGATAAATAATATACACAATATTAATAGTTGCTCTATTTTTGTAAGTAAAATGTATAAAGTAAACGCAATCACTCGGTGGATCGGCTATGGTAGACTTAATCATTTAGATTAAATCAACTATGTTGACAGTTGAAAAAGTTAGTTTATAGTTATGTAAAATCATAATCATCTTCTTCTTCTTTCACTCCCGATTAAACACTGAAAATCTTTCAAGTTATTCCCTTGTCAGCTGATCCTTTCACAGTTCTTACCACAGTCAGACACAAACAGGTTGCAAGCAGCAGCAGACGCATGATTCCACTATTGATTTCCAACGCGTTCTAAGCACGAGCAAATACTGAAAAGCTGCCAAAATCTGAGCAACATTATTCACAAATTTTAGCTGCCTCTATTCTGCCAGGGCAGAATAATTGATAATCCAAATTGGGCTACATAGGGTTCACTGGAATGGGATGATAAGACGAGGCGATTATCAGCAGCGCGTTAAATAGTTCAAGTTTAGAGCTTGCTTGTGCAAGAGTTAAAAGTTGTGCCATCTGAGAGATTCTCAATGGGATTGCCAAAGAGCACTGCGGGCTGGGGGAACACACCTCAAACGGCTTACGCAATTGGCCCGACCCAGACCCGGCCCAAGCTAGTTGCATTTTTATTGATCAACACCTGCCAATGAGGTCACATACAAATCAACAACTTGGACTCTTTTTTTCCATTCGGCGTGTGTGTGTGTGTGTGTGTGTGAGTGTCTTCGTCTGTTAATTGTTTTGATGTTTATTTGTTGTGTTTTGGCATTTTGCCCGGCCAGTTTTCAGGCATTTAATAATATTACAGAGCGTTGCTGTTGTTGTGACTGTTTGTAAAGGAGCGACATCGTCCCACTTTACGCATATTTGAGCAACCGGATTTCTCGAGCTGTTGATGTTTCGCCAAAACATGTTTAACACGTCGCTCAGTCACTTCTGCCCAACAGCGCACGAAAATCTTCATCTTCATCTTCATCTTCATCTTCATCTTCAACACCTTCATCATTACGCTCATCATCATTATCATAATGCTTGTCATGATCATCTGCTTTATGTGCTACCGCGTCTCAAGTAATTGCAATCGAAAAGTGGTTCTGCCATGGCGCAAAAGCCAAAATAAAATAAAATGAAACCACAAGTGCCTCTGCCACAATCCTGAATGGTAGATCGCCGAGGCACGTTTATTTGCACACTGTGAGAAAATCATTTGAGTGTTTGCCAGTGATTGCATTGGATGAGCTTTGCAGATTTGCTTCTTCCCCTTAAAACTCTAGCTCTTTCGATGTGTTTCAGTGTTTCAAGACAAGCCGAAGACGAAGCTAGCTCCATAAGCTATTCTATATCAAAAAGTTATGATCGGAAATACCATAAAAAGTGAATCGTATTTAACTGCTATGCAAATGAGTTTTGCATCCAGCTGCTAATACATTCCGGATTCTAATAGTATATTTTCAAATTTTAATTTGTTTAATAATATTTTTATATATGTTTTCAGTGTAAGAACTCAATTTAAAATTTCATTTTATTTCGCTTTCCATGTGCAGGCTCTGTTTCTAGCAGCTGCCATATGGAGCTTAGCTTGGACTTTGTTTTGCTCTCGGTTCGCAATTAGAGCACTGTTAATTGGCTTTTCGTTGATTCATGATTCTGCTCAGTGTATTGTTATTCCACATGATTCCACAATTTCTTTCGCAGCTCTCGGCTGCCTCGCAATGACCTTGGCTTGTTTTTTCTTGCGTGTTTTTAGCCATTAAAAATCCAGTTTATTTTGTTTTGTTTTTTATTTTCATTTTCATTTATTTCTCTTATTTTCGCTCTTGTATCTTTCTTGGCTCGTTTCCTCTCTTCTTTCACTCTGGCTTTGTCAATTTGTACAAATTTTCGTTATATGGTTAATTGTTATACGGTTCGTTTTCGTTGTTGTTGGTGTTGTTGTTGCCAAACAGCTTTTATGCTGAATGCAGCCTATGTAGCAATGCTCATAATGATGATAGTCATGATAATGGTAATGCTGATGATGACACAGCCGCAGAGTGGGACACTGGCTGGGATGCGCCGGCTGCAACAGCGTCTGCTGCGTCTTCTTGGCCTGACCTTTGGCAATTTGAAATGCAGGTTTACAGCTGTTGCCCGACCCGTTGGAATATTTTTGTCTGTTTCTGATGGGATTGCGAAACGCTCTTTGACTGTTTAGCATTTTAATGGAACTTAGCATGGATTTGAATATAGATTTATGTTGTTTTTTTTTCTGTTTCTGTTTTTGTTTGTTTTGTGTTTTTTTTTTGTGGCTTTCTTTTGATGCACTGCCTGGCTTTGTGTCGCAGCGTCATGAATTTATTGATAAGTTTGAAGTTTTCAGCGTGTCTTTTGTGGGATTTCAAGGTTATAACCTAGTTTTTGGCAAAGGCGCGTTCAGCAAAAAAAATCAAAAAATCAAAAAAAAAAAACAATGCATATTTTATGGGTGAGAAATCGATTCGAGTTCGATTCGTGCATGTTTAATCCATTAAATGAAACTGCAAGCGCGTTGATAAAAAGCCACGCGGTACACAGATAACAGAGAAACGAAATACGAAAACAGCCGTCCTTGGTTTACTTTGTGTCATCTGAACTTGGCCAAAATAAACGCTGCAGGATGTTGTACAAATATATATAGCCAACCACGTGAACCTTTCTTTCTTTATTTCGACACTAATTGAGAGCTGGCGAAACCAAAGGAAGTCGCAGCATAATTAAAAAGACATCAGCTCATTGAGCAAGCTGTGCGCGATTTGCGTTTGGAAAATGGAAAATGAAAGCCGATTAGTTTTTGGCCAAAAATATCAAGTGCTCGCAATGGCCATAATTAAAAGTACATCTGTGTGTGTTGGCAAGTGAATTGGCTATGGCACCGCCCGATGTGACAGCTGCGACCAATTGCATGGACAATGGAAGCAGCCGAAAACTGTAGCTGAAACCGAAAGTGGGCCCCAGACGCAGACAAAGAAGTCAACAACCTGCGCGTGTTTGTTGCCTTCAATTTTGGCGCTAAGCGAACAACGAGCCACACTCATTAACTCTCGACAACATCTTCGTTAGTGGGAATTAATTATGCAGATGTATTCATTGTATTGCGATTTCAAGTGTGGTAAAATGCAGCGCTCCATTGTCGTGATTGGATTGGGAACGGGGGCTGGGTCTGCGGCTAATGGCCACAAGGTGTGGGCAAGCAGCTGCTGCTCATTACGATGATGCTGATGATGATGACGATAATTATAATAGTTATGACAAGCAGCGACAGGCGGCAGGGCGTTGGCTGTGCCCTATTTGAGCATAATACACATGTCCCACAAGCCCCAACCGCATTACAAAAGCTTTTGTTGGCTTTGCAGTTCGAAGTTGCCCAAACGGCGCGGCGTCTCAAGAAACGTTTGGGCTTCCGCTGGAGCTATTTGCCGATCGCTTTTCAGTCAACAGAAAAGCTGATTTTTTCTTTTTGTTTTTGAAAGTAAATTTCACTGATCATTGACCTCGACTCTCTGTGCGGCGGTTGCGTGTAAACGCCGTCGCTGAGGCCTGAACGCTTTTGGGATTACGTAAATCCGAAATTAGTTAATAAATGAAAACTGTGAACTGTGAAATGAGAAATGAGAAATACTGTTATTGTACAATAAATACACAAATGTCTAGCTATATATACATATAGAAATCGGCCCGTTACGTTTGAATAAAACGCTGCAATGCTGCACTTTTTAAGCTGCACTTTTCTATTGGCCCAAAGGTGGTTTTTTTACCTGGCCCAAGGGGCTGTTCGCTAAATGAATCTTACGTAAAGTGTTGTAAACAATATTGTTGTCAATGTGTCAATACGACCATTAGGCTTCGAGTCTAATAAACATTGGCCAAGTCTTGGAAAGGTTGCGCAGTGTTTGTCATAGGTTTATAAATCAAATTTATCAAGATTTTGAAATTCACTGGACTCTATAAAATTCATGCTCCGAACAACGATCCAAATCATCAGACATCCGATTCTTTAAAATGAAATAAAACAAGGTTATTTCGCGAACAGTTCTCATCGAAAAGATGTGCACATAAAGATTACAGCCCAGACCTGAAGTCGAGTGGAGTAGACCAATCCAAGTGGACCAATCTGAGTGGAGCTATTAAAATTCTGCACCGGAAATCTTGTTATGTTTGAGTATAGCATAAATCTTTATAATGCTCAGCAACGGCCACATAGCAAGCAATTAAAACTATTTTTGGCATAAATGTATAGCACGTACTGGACAAGGAGCGCTATCTCAGCTGCTCATCGAAGACCTTCTGCGGCGCAGAAGTCGAAAACAAATTAGTTCTGTAGGCACATGAATTAAGTTTCAGCTGCTTCCTTAACAAAGCATTTGTTTACATTCTGTTCAGAAAGTACAAATTAAGATTCCTCAGGCTAAAGACTTCACTCAAAAGTTTCTGCTCAGAGAGAAAAGAAAAACAATGAAGATTCGTCCGGCTGGAGACTGCGTAGATAAAGCGTATAGAGACTGTTTGTTTGCTAATACTTATGCCAAGCCACACATTGCAAATGCAAATATTATGTATAATACCAACTAACACTGGCTGTGACCTTTTGGTTAGATAATATGACGTCTCAGCCCTAGTTGAGCTGCTCTAACAACTCGGTCACTTACTAACAAGGTCGTTGGTTAATTAAACAATTTGCAATTCAGCCTCAATTTATTCAGTTATTAATGAGAAAATGTCAACTGAGCTAAGGTTAAGCTTAGCCAATTTCCGACAGACCAATACAAAAATGGGACAGAAATAGTTGTATAACGCTAGCTAACACCTTCGCTGTGCACAAACACGTTCTAACGGGTTTTTTATTTCTGTAGTTTTATATTTTCTGAGCATATGACAAACGAAAGATTCAACTCACGAACACGCGGCAGCAACAGTTAACGACAAATTACCGTTTCGAAATGCACTTGCTAAATACGCATTAAGAACTTGCACAGCCAAATCGGACGGGCCCCAACTACCGGCCGGGTCTTCAGCGATTTGGCTTAATTGAACACAGGCACACACGCACACACATGGTATTTACTGCATGGGTGTGCGACGAATCAGATAGCATACAAATGGCATGCATTGTGAGGCGAGGCGAGAGCGGGCTAAGGCAGAGAGTAGGCCAGGCCAAGTCAAGCCAAACCGAGCCACGCCGAGGCAAGCCAAGCCAAGCCAGCACTGGTAACTTTTCTTCCGCGTTGCATATGCGACGTCAACGTGGCGGCAAACGCCGCACCCACCCACAAGCAGCCCAGCTAAAGTCAACAATTAAAAGAAAAAACCACTGCTCACAATCTGAGCCAAGAGCTGATGCAATTTTTGCATTTTTCAAATGCTTTACAACTGCTTGTCCACAAATTATACTGTGCGCGAGTGCGCTTGGTGTGCTGTTGGCCAATAAGCATTTAGTTAGCTAGAGTCTTTCTGCCAGTATTCTCAGCGACTTGGCATTCAATTTAGAGCGGAGCTCGCCCTGGGCAGCACACTCCCCGAAATGCCAGGCTCAACCCGATCTATAACAGGCCAGACGTCGTCTGACAGCTGCATGGCAAACGGGTTTCGACTGGTTTTTTGGTTCTCTTTTTCTTCTTTTTTTTGGGGCTAGCCAAACAAACCCTAAAAATCGGGTGCAACATATAAAACAAGCTAGATAGGTATGCGATCGAGAGCAGGGCGAAGGCTCAATACGCTTTGCTATCGAATGAAAAGAGATGATAAAAAAGCTGTCAGATGTTGATTAGATTTTGATTATATATCATGAATAAAAATTAAACTTAATTTTGCAGATATTTATAGAGAAAATAATAATAATATAGAGAAAATAAATATACAATAGCTGACCTGTACCGAAGATTATATACCCTTGTAGGCATCTGTAGACTAGCAGAGATTCTACAATAATTTCAGTGATGTTCTTTATGTCAATATAGAACATGTTGAAAGCTTAGAGTTGAGATTGAAATATATTGTTCTTGAATAGATTACATATATATATATTCATAATATATATTCATATTTTTATATATATATATATTTGTTATTCATTTTAAAAATTTTCATTTTGAGTAGCTTGTTTTTATTATACAAAATTCTCAACAAAATATTCAAGTAGCCTGTGCATAATGCATACTAAAAATTTGGATATTTTTTGGCTGCTGTGCCGCTAAAAACCGTTTTTAGTTATAGCTAAATAAAAAGGCTAAAGGCAGTGGCCTTTTGTATGCGCTGAGTTAATGCTTATAACTGGTAACTATGCAGCAGCAGCAGCAATGCAGTTAGCTGCAGCAGCAACGGCAGCAGCTATTGAAAGCGAAAGCATAACTCTGGCAAGGTAGCTTAGTTTGTGTTTATTTTTGTTGTCGTTGTTTTTTTTTTTTTTTTTGCACTACTGAAACTGGTTCGCTGTCTGGGACTGTGGGCAGCCGCAGGTTTTCTAGAGACCACTTCAATAACACACTGAGCCAGGCCCGGGGTCGGGCTTCAGACCACTCTCAACTACAACAAATTCGTCGTCTCGAGTCGTTGGCAGCTGTAATTGTTCTGCCAGTTGACTCTTGTTGTTGCTGTTGGCTGTGACTGTGGCTGTGGCTGTAATTCCATATTCTTCCTGCATTCCGAAACCTTGAATCACATTTCTTGCATTTAATTGCACACATTTTCAACAATTTGCTGTTTGTTATTGTTGTCGTTGCGGCGCCGCTGAGTGTCCGTCGTTGACCGCCGCGCTGGGTCAGCATTAATAGTCGCTGGCGCGGCTGCTGCAGCAGCCACTGCAACTACAATTGGAGCTGTGACTGTGACTGCCACTGCGACTGGCTGGCCTACCTTTTACTTGCACGCATCGACAGTTGACGGCCCGTTTTTAATGCCAAGCCGCAGCCAGCGAGTGCGTATTTGTTTATGTGCGAGTGCAGCGGCATATCGATTGCGATTGCAATTGCCATTGCATTGCCGGCCACCGGTTGACCATCACATTGCTTTTACATTAAGAAATCATGTTAATTGCGTCGATTAACATTTAATATGACGCTGAGTCGAATGACGCACAAACATGAATAGTTCGCTTCGGCTTGTCAAAGACTAATAAACTCCATAGAATAGAATGAAACAGAAAAACAACTAGAAAAAACTTCGACCTTATCCGTGAATTTATATAACAGGTATCTGACATGGACAACAAATAAGATAGATAGAAAATAAAGGCAAAATAAAGCAAAGAAATCTTAATAAAAACTTTTTAATCTTGTGACTAAAGTAATTTAAAGAATTGAGAATTAGTTCCTAAGAATGAAGTCTTTAAGCATTCCGTTTGAAGTTTACTCTGCAAGGGTCTACGAGATACAGTCTACACAGACAACGTGGCGTATACGCAACGCGCCTAGAGCTGTTGCTGGAAATGCCAGGCGCATGACTCAGGCACAAGGCAGGCAACACACATACCAAGCCACAAACTATGCACACACACACACACAGAAATACATGTGTGGCTTCAACCAATTAGGTGAAGTTCAACTATAGATTTAGTTTTTTGTTGTTATTTTGGGTCGGTAAGTAGAAGCCGTGCCCTGGGGCCGGCAATCGCACAAAAAGCCAATCCATAATTAGCTACAAGCATCAACAACACACCGAAATGGATGCTAGTTACCTACACAAGTACAAGTACACACACACACTCACACACAGCTAGACGCGCTGAACTTTCAGGCAAATAAATTCCATTTGCAACCCCCGCCTCAAAATGCAAAACGTAACGCCGCAGATCAATTGGAGGAATGGTTCGCTTTGGGGGCAACCGAAAAACAACAATGCTGGCTGACGCTGGCAGCGCAGTCAACGCCGCTGCCGGCAACAGTGCGCCGCGTGCATACAAAACAAGCTAACTTACAGTTAAAAACGACGCGTCGCTGACAATTACAATTAAACGTGTACACGAAGGAGAGAGACAGAGAGAGAGAGGGAGTCCAAGTAAGAGAGCGTAGCAGCGCCGCACGAGCGAAAAGTAGAGAGATGGCCGACTCACATGAGTGCGACAAGGCCAGGTAGCTGCTGTAAGTAACACTAAAGCTGACTGCTACGAGCCCCGACCGCCAGGCAGTGCTTTGTACCGTTGCAATCGTTTGCTAGTGAACGTCGCCGTCGTCGCGTCGACGCCGCTGCGCAGCCAGCGCGAGCGTCGCTGCCGCCGCCAACGTTCGTCTGGATTGTTCGCGGCTGGCGCGCATGCGCAGCGGTATAAAAAGCTCCCGCACCAGCCACAGCCACACACAGTTTCAAGTCGTCGGTCCAAGTGGTGCGCTATCAAAGTTTTGTTCAAGTGCTACGAGCCGCCTCCCCCCCTACTCTCTCAGATTCGGTTACGTATCGGCGAGCAACGGTCAAAAGCGTTATTACCAAATACACAACAGCACTAAGCTAAACCGCACAATGAAGAAATTTTTAGTTGTGTTTGTGGCATTATTCGGAGCCGGTATGTATTATTTGTTAGCTACATACACACCTACATATATGTCGATCAGGGAAAAGAGAAAGAGCTCAAGGAGCCAAGCTGAGCTTATGCTGATGCTGATGCTGATGCCGTAGCTGTTGCTGACGCTTATGCAATCAGCCAACCGCTGAAGGACACTTGACAAACGTTCAGCCGTACAGTGTTAAAAAAAGAAGTGTTTTTTTCAATCGAGTGTGTTATAAAAGCGCCTGCTTGTGCAACAAGTGATCAGCTCTGATCAACTATCGCCCAGCTTGGCCCACTTTTACCAACTTCGAAATCGAAAAGGCGGAAAATACAAAATGAAAATCACAAAAAGTACAAAAAAAAGTAAAAAAAAAAAATGAATTAGCGAAGGCGCAAAATCCAAATGCAAACCATAAGCGTAATCGAGCCAAAGAGCCAATTGGAGTTGGCCATGTTGCAGCAACCCAACACGTTTACTTGCATTTTCGTTACCCCAGCACACGATCACATTCGCTGTAGATGTATCTATAGCTGTTGTATCTGTATCTATTGGCTCGAATCGATTTCATTACCTCATCGCGTGGCGACGCCTTTAAGAGTGCAAGAAATTACAACAGCGGCGCTGTCTGGTTCGGCTTGAGTGCACCAAGCGCTTACATCACCAGCATCATTATCATCATTCGATGATCTTTAGTCTTAAGTCAATTTATGAGCACATTTGCATGACATTGACATTGAAATGCCTCCTTTCTTCTGCCTCTTCTCCTTTCCAATATTTGCACAAAGCAGAAAAACAATTTACATATTTTTAAGACACGTTTGCAGTCGGCTAATTGAAGAGACAACTGCGTGATATTTTGCTTTTAATTTTCGGCACAGGAATTCAAAATACGCAGCTGCCACGCCCAGTCGGCCCATTAGCAAAACTTGTTTCATCTGGGCCATCAAAGTGATTTTAGCCGCAACAATGTTGACGCTTTGAATTTGTTTTTGTTGTTGTTGCTGTTGGTTATTCAACTTGAAAGCAACAAAAAATAAAATCGAAAATAAGTAAAATCTCCTCAGGCCAATTGCGTGCCATGCATTTTGCTGTTGTTGTAATTTCTTAGCCACTTTACTTTTAATTGGCAACAATTTTCAAAGTTATTAAACTTAACAGCAGCAAAACAACATTTAATGGGCCTGAACAAGGCGCATGCAGCGCATTGTCAAGTTCAAGTTGCTTGTTGTCGTAGCTGCTGCTGGCCAATAAATTATGCAACATCAAATGCTGTTGGCCAAATACACAAACACTTGGCCCAAATGTTGCCACAGGCATGCTAATCACGGCGATAAACAATTTGAGCTGTTCAAAAGATTTCCGAAAAACACAATAAATTTCCGCATTCGGTTGCGCGACTCATTTTTATTTTTCTTGCTGTCTAGATTTTTGCATTGGCTGCTGCTGCTGCTGCGGTTTAGTATCAGCAGCAGCAAAAAGCGTAACAAATGCAAACAATATATGTGTGTTGCCATTTTGTTATTGCCACACCACAGCAGCAGCAGCGGCAGCAAGTCACGCTTGAAAAGTTTTTATTTTGTGGCAACAAAATCAAATGAAATGGCCAAAACACACACACACACTGACACACAGCTGCGCGAGCTATGGCTTGCATTAGTGGCACAACAAACACACTCACACACTCTCACGCACACACACATTAGCTGGGTATCTGCGCTGATTTATGGGGCCAGAGGCAAGTGTAAAAAAAAAGTCAACAACAAATGCCGAAAAAAACGAAACAAAAACAAAATACAACTCTTAAATGCGCTGACGCCACTCGAAAGTCAATTTGCGTGCCACATTTTTGCCATTTGCTGCCACTCGCTCTCTCTGTCTCTCTCTCTCTCTCTCTCGCTCACTCTTTCTCCTGCCATTTTTGTGGTGCCGCAGCTCAGGCTGTCGTCGATGCGTTAAATTTGAAAAATAAATCTATAACTTTTCGGCATAGGCTAAGGCGGATTTATGGCTCAATATGACGCGTCAGAAACTATTTGAGAATATGGCATGAATGACGCACAAGCTCGACAGCAACAGCAGCAACAACAAACACTAGGCAAACAATTGAAAAGCAGATTAACCCACATACGTTGCATGCCGGCAGCTATGTGAGTAAATATTTAAATATCATTATGGCAGAAAGAAAAATAAAAACGGCTTCTTGGCTTAAAGAACCAAAGCGAAGAACGGCAGCAACATTTAGCGGAAATGCTGCTACGAGCCAAAATTGTTGCTGCTGCTGCTGTTGTTGTTGCTGTGCAAATATCGTAGCCCCCAATTGCTGTTAGTCAAAGTAGCAGCCACGAAACGAAATGAAATGAAACGTGCTTAAATGTCAGCAATTTTCTTGATTTATATGGCCGGCAATGTCTTGGCGCCAGACAACAATGGCAACAACAATAACAGCAACAACAGGCACATAGAATTTGCCAGTAGCCCAAATGATAGATAGTTGCAAGTGCCACAAAACACCTATTGTAAGTTGGTGGCTAGAAAAAAGAACAACAACATAAAACTGAAGCTCTGATTGCAGCCCTCTTGCGGCTAACGATTATGAGTCGAAATACAAATAAACACACCACACACTTTGGCAGCGGTCTGGCAGGGAAACTTTCAGCACAGTTGACTTCAAGTGTTTTTCGCTGGAATTTGTTGCCTTTCAAGTGGGTGTGCGTCTCTCTGTGTGTGTGTGTGTGTGTGTGTGTGTGTATACACTTCTAGCTTGAGCAGTTCAATGCACTGGGCCCTGTTGATATTCATATTTATGAGTCACTGCGGCGCAGGCTCAATGCCTGACACGAAATGCAAATTTGTCATTATTTGTCATGATATTTGCAGGACACGTAGCCATAAGAATTGTGATATGCATCTAGAAAGGAATGTCATAGATGACAGCATTGATGAATGGCTTGTAACTGATATTGCAGCGCTGCTTAAAGGCTGAGCTGTAAGCCATAAAAGAATATATATAGATGGGAGAGTGTAAGAACAAGAGTTCAATATATATTAGATCTTTATATATACGGCCTAGAGATATAGAAATTAAAACTTTTTTTTATTTAATAGTATAAAGCTATATATGAAACTAAGCACTTTAAGATTATGGCAATGCACTCATTAAAATTTGAAGTATTTCCTTGAACTGAAGCTGAGCTGAAGCAGAGTTAGTAAACTTCAAGCTGATTTGTTGGCTTGGCTATTTATTTACCTAGACTTCAACCTAACTGAATGTTATTCAACTCTACGATCTGATATATTTATTCAAATAAACGCTATTCGAGCTGTGCAATTAAAACTCTCACTCGACGAGTCGGCCCCATTTGGCAATTGATTGCCTTGGGGGCTGTAATAATAATAATAATAGTTAATGCTCTGCCATGTGCATATCACATATCAATTGGCATTGTTGTGAATAAATAATGTAGTTGCCAATTGCGAATGTATTCATTGTTCAAATTGAATTATTCATTTATTTGTATTATTTGCATCTTGACAATGTCTGTCATTTAGGTGCAACATAAATTAATATAACTCACTTTTTTCACTTTTTTTCATTATTAATTTGTGCGCTGTGAAGCGCTTTATCAGCTGTGTTTGTGTGTGTGTAAAGTTTTGGTTAATTAAATGATTATGTTAATGGACGACCGGATGAGCAGACGTAGATATGAGAGTAGTTGACTGCAGCAGCTGGAACGATATGCATTCAACCGACAAGACCAATACAATTGGCGGTTTTGCTGTTAAAATGTCAATAAAAATTTATTATTTAAGCACACACACACACATATTGATGTTGTTGGAAAAAAAGTACGTAATTAAGCGCTCACAATTGATAGATAAAACAATTATTGCAAACAACATGCAACATGCGGCAACAATCAGTCTAACTAAGTAAAGCCCGCTAATTTGCGAGATTGGCCAATCGAGGCATTTAAGCCATGTGCTACAGAAGAATGTGCAGGGCGTGCCGGCCGGAACTGTCAGCTACCCAAGCGCTTTAGCTGCGAGTGGGTTAGTAGTAGTAGCAACTGGTAGCAGACCCGTTGCCAGCATCACGTTTAACCGGTTTAGCCGCAACTCAAATGCGGCCTAGAATTGCTTGGCTTTTGCTTTCGATTTCGTTTTCGTTTTCATTTAGCAGATCAGCATCTAGAATGAATTCATAATTAGCGCTCAAAATATTCCGCAAATGACATCAGTAGTTCCTCGCAACTTACTCACAAAATCAATCAAGCGAATACCAAGAAATAAAAATGTGCTCAAAATAATAATAGCTAAAGCAAAAGGCATTAAAGACGAGACGAAAATTTCAAAAATTTATTTGAATTTTATTTATAGATTTTTTTATTTACAAATTAAACAAATATAAAAAGTTGGCTAATGATTATTCAATCAATATTTATTGCTAGGGGAAGCAGTAGAGAGTAGATAACATTATTGATTTATACAATTTATGAAAATAGAAAATGAATCAAATGTGAAGTTCATATCAGACAAGTTTAGCCTGAAACCTAGGCACCTTATGTAGTTCAGCTACCTTGAGAGGAGTTAATAAACTTTTAATTTTATTCTAGCTGCTCTTTGCTCAATTTGAGCTCAGCTTTCATTAGAACATTCCACTGCCCCACAGTCTTTCACTGCCTTTTCAACTTGGCAGAAACACTACAAATTTATTGCGCATACGCCACTTTGGCCAGCAGCAAGCCCCAGCAGCAGCAGCAGCAGCTGCTCAAAGGTAATTGTTTAGTTAACATGTGGTATTTACGCTACGCGACAAATGTACACACACACACACACACACACACACACAATGAGTGAGACATACATATGTACATAACTCAATGTAATCATCAGTGTGGGCAGCGCAGCACACTATGCACATATGTAAGCGCATTAGTGCTGCGGTCTGCCGCTGCGGCTGCCACAGGCTATGCCCCATGCCACATGGCACATGCTACATGGCCCATTCCACATGCAACTGCATGGCCATTCCCGCTGCCTGTTTGCCTTCGAGGCGGGCTGGGGTTTTTGGGTCTGTTGCACTTGCATTGGAATGCGCTTTTTGTGCACTGCTTCGGTTGCTGCAACAACAAACTAAATTATTATAACTGTTGGCTGAGCACACTCTCTCTCTCTCTCTCTCTCTCTCTGAGAGTGTTTAGCTTTTGTTTGTTAGTTGTTAAATGTTATGTGTGCATGTCTCTGTGTGTGCGTGTGTTGAGCTGCTAAGTGCTTGAAAGTTCCTTTTTTTTCGACAAAGCATTCCAGTTGCTGGCGCACCTGAGCTACTGCTGCTGCTACTACCAAATAGTGAGATATTTGTATGACTCCAAGAGTTATACAAATAAATAAATAAGTAAATATGAAAGATTTTGTGTGTTTATATTTTAAAGCTTGGCTTGGCCAGTTGCTTAAGGCCCCATTAGAGTCACATAAACAAATTCTTTTCAGTGTGAAAATTGCAAATATTTTACGCTTATTCCGCAGTCAACAAAGTCGTGCATTTTACTATTATAATTACTTTTGGGCAATATTTTTGGCACTCTTAATTTGATATGTAAATTGCAATTCGAATTTTATTTAGAATTCAAAATTTCTTTGCAAAACTGAAAGCCTAATATCTCTCTAATTAACGGTATTTGAGTAAACAACAAGTAAAGTGAATATATGAAAATGTTTTTATATTATTTTATAATGCAATTGGCTAACAGCTCCCGCCTGACCTGCTGACCAAAAAGTGCGCATAATAAATATGAGCGCAGCATCAGAATAGTATGTGTGTGTGTGCCGTTGATGAGTGTGTTTACACACACGCATAGCAGATATAACGAGCGCGCGTGTAAATAAATGCCATAGGAAAACAAAGTTTTTAATTAAATTCTGCAAATAATTTGATAATCGCCAACAATTTTGATTTCTGCAAGCCTTTTGTAGCAATCACTATATATAGAATATATATATTTATATGTATCTGAAGTTTATATACACAAAAAAACTTTTGATATTTGATTAGTTTACACAACATGAAAATTGCATGTTGTTTGGTTTATCAAGAGTTGTTTTAGCTGGCGGCTTTTCGATCTAAATATTTTTTAGTTTCAATTATTTTTATTTTGATTCATTTGATGAGGCAGAGGCGGCAGGTGCGGCAGGCGAGTCAGGTGAGTCCAGCGAGCCACTTCTGATTGGGCATTTGTAGCCATGACCGCAGTTTTGCGGCTTTGCAATTAGATTATCACACAAGGGCTGGCGCCGAGTGTGGCTCAGGACTCGGCCATTTGTTCATTTGCTGCGAATTTACTGGCGAATGTTAAAAACGTTGAATAATTATTTATTGGTAGCTGCAGCTGCCATTTGATTTGAAACGAAATTAAACGAAATGAAATCAAATGCATTGCGCGGCAGGCTAGCAAAAAAATACCACATTAGTTAGGGTATATAAATGCAATTTACGTTCGTTACGCTTTGCGGTCGCACTGAGCTCCCAGCAGCGTGGGAGCCGTGAGGGCTGGAGCGAGAGCTGCCACGATAAGTCCTTGGTGGCGCGTTTCAGGTGCTTCAACTCCGGCGCACCAGGGCTCGGTGTAGATGTCGAAGCTGTAATTTCATCGCCAAAAAAAAAAACACAGAAGACAACAGAAACAACAAAAATCACAAGCGCTAAAAGTAAATGCAGTTGGCCCTGAGCTGTCAACGCGTGCGAGTGTGCGTGTAGCTTAAATATATATATCTCAGATCTCTAGAGCTGTCGGTTGAAAGTTGCCAGCCAAAAGATTTATTGGCAGCCATCGTCAGAGACGACTTTTTAAAGTGAATGCCTTTTGCACAAGATGACAAATTGTTGTGCACAACAACAGCAACAGCTACGGCAACGAGTGTGCTTGTGTGTGCCTCGTGTAAGTGCACGCTGATGTATAACAATTAAACGCCCATTGGCATTGGCCATGCAATTTGAATAGGCTCTGGGGCCTATTAGCCTCGCCTCGCCTCACCTCGCCTCACTGAGAGCTTGTAAAATAATACAATATTCAGGGGAACAAATTGGTTTCGATTAGTTTGCTCGGCGCGCTGCATTTGAAATTTATACTAATTGCTTTTATACACTTTCTCTGGTAATTGCAGCTGTGGCCCAACAGAGCTTCAAGTGCCCCGATGACTTTGGCTTCTATCCACATGAGACATCCTGCGACAAATACTGGAAGTGCGACAATGGCGTCTCCGAGCTGAAGACCTGCGGCAATGGTCTGGCCTTCGATGCCTCAGACTCCAAGTTCCTCACCGAGAACTGCGACTATCTGCACAATGTGGAGTGCGGTGACCGTTCAGAGCTGGGTAGGCTTTGGCCACAAACTATATCAATGTGAATTGGCTTAACTTATGTGCTTCCATTTGCAGAGCCCCCAATCACCACGCCTCACTGTTCGCGTCTGTACGGCATCTTCCCCGATGAGAACAAGTGCGATGTCTTCTGGAACTGCTGGAACGGCGAGCCATCCAGATATCAGTGCTCACCCGGCCTGGCCTACGATCGTGATGCACGCGTCTGCATGTGGGCCGATCAGGTGCCCGAATGCAAGAACGAAGGTGAGTTTCGCATAGACAGCTGAGCTCTTGAAGTGCGGGCACTAAATATCTTATCCCCTGCAGAGGTTGCCAATGGCTTTGCCTGCCCAGCCGCCGGTGAGCTGGCCAATGCTGGTTCCTTCTCCCGTCACGCACATCCCGAGGACTGCCGCAAGTACTACATTTGCTTGGAGGGCGTGGCACGCGAATACGGCTGCCCCATTGGCACAGTGTTCAAGATTGGTGACAGCGATGGCACTGGCAACTGTGAGGATCCCGAGGACGTTCCCGGCTGGTAAGTTGTAAAATTTAAGCTTGGATACACAATATGATTAGCACCTGGTTTGCTTTGGTTTTGCTTGGAGTTGTTGATTTTGAGTTTTGAGTTTATTTCGCTACGCTTGCACCACAGACCACCACACCACTGAACCACCGAACCACCGAACCACAGACAACAGTTGTTAGTCGCTCAGCAGACTCGCGGTCTATTCTTCTACACTAATACTCTTATATCTATTCACGCATCGACACACAGTCTCTCTCTCTCTCGCACACATACAGTCACACTCACTTACATACATATCTCTTGGCCTATTCTCACATTTGTCTTTACCTCGTCCCTTTACAATTGCAGCGAAGACTACTATGGTGATCTGGACTTGAAGAGCATCCGCAAAAGCGAGCTTCTAGCTGGATTGAACACTGAAGGTCGCACTAAGAGCGCGCTCAAAACCAAAGCTGCCACCTCATAAACATAACAACAACAACTATAATAACTAAAAAAAAACAACAGCAACAACAGCAACAATACTATAACAACAAAAAAGAAACAACTACAACAATATCAACTCGAATCCTTTGCCCAACTACTTTCCTACTCTCACATCACAAAGTCACCTCTAACAAAAATGAAAAAGTGAAAAAATAATACTCAACCAGCCTCAAGCTCAATCTATTACTATTTCGACTCTACTTCATTATCAATTCAATGCACTATCCTCAACGTTTTTATTTATCTATTACCTATCCATGAGTCCAACTGTTGATACGTCTCTTCCAAATTTCAAAGAACTTTGAGAACTTACGAAATTTAGGTCCAACAGGCTAAAAAGACAAATTTGTAATCAAATGTGCGAAGCAAACAAACAAAATGAGTGTAAACAACATCGAGGAGAGAGAAAAATCTTTCAAATTGCAGAGTAAAATTGAGAGATTTGTACATTTAAGTGATCTTTGTTTATAAGCTTATAATTTTATTTTATACATAAAAAAAATACACAAAAACTAAAAAAAAAACAACTTATTGGATAGTTCTTATTTATGAGATTGCTTTACCAAAAATTGAGGGAAACTGAAAATAAATAAATTATTTAAAGCTGTATAAAATATATCTTAAGGTTAGCTCAGCTCACACAACTTGATTTGATATGATATAAAATTTTTTTTTAATTTAACCAATTAAAAAAATAATTTTTTTTTCCTCGACTTTAGTAACCATCATATCGAAACAAAAATTTCGAAATATTTCCACTGTAAAGTAGTCGATATTTAGTGAAAGTAAAGCCTAGACAAAGTTCAGCTGCGCGAGACACGATTTAAAGCTCTATTTGAGCAACTAAAAGTCGAATAATTTTTGGGTGGCTTCACGGCTAGGAAAAGTACGAACAAAACTCGTAAACACTCGTAAATTATTTATAATTTTGCCATTGGGCTGTGGGAATATGTGCTGGGTGGTACGGGCGGGAGGCGCCAGGCGGTGGGCGGCAGCCGACTAGAAGCATAAGAAGTAAGAGGCATGTGCTTTTTTATTTCCGTATTTTGTTTGGCTGCGTTTGGCTGCCATCTGAAGTCGCAGAGTCTGTAAATAATAAGTAAACAGAAAACTTTGCGACGCCAGCCATATTTGTCGCAAATGAAAAGTTGGCAGCCTTTTCGAACGTCCAACGTCTTTGCTAACGATGCCAGCGTCGGCGTCGGCGTCGGCGTCGGCGTCGACGTGGACTTCAACGCCAGCGTCAGCGTCAACGTCGTTGACATCTTTTGAAATGCACAAGAACTTTGTTAATTATTCATTAGATTCTATAAACAAAAACGCGATACAAAAACTTTAAATGAATTTTCAAATTATCAACACAATTGCAGGCAGAACCAACACACAGACAGACAGACGCACACTCACACACACACACACGAGTGGCGCTCACACTAGCACGTGGGCAATGGTACCTCGATAAGGGCGCCAGCCACGAGAGCGGCAAGCGGTTCGCCTCCACTAAATCATAAAAGGGGGCAAAAACTTTACACTGCCTTGTCGTTGACTTTTGTGTATATGTATGTGTGTGTGTGTGTGTGTGTGTGTGTTTGCGGTATGTGTATATGTGCATAGACACGCATACACTTGCCACATTTTTGAAAGAGTTTTAAAACTAATTAAATAAAAATTATAAAACTCGACAAACTCAAGGCGCAGTCAAGGCAAAAGGACATTTTACGTTTATGCGTGTGTTTGTGTGTGTCCTGGCGAGTGGTTGAAAGCGCGCAAAGGACTGCAACATTTTGGAAAATTAGTACAAAGTGGCCAAAATGCACATAATTCGCTTTAGGTCCTGCTTAAGAGTGCGGTAACAGTTATAGCCACAAAGAGAGATAAAGAAATAGGGAGTAGAGAGGGGAGAGTAGAGAGAGATGGGAGATAGTGAGTGAGTGAGTGAGTGAGTGGGCACACAAATCCGAGCAACAACAGCACAGCTCTTGTTATCATATTTTGCTTTCACCTGCTTTACACAGCTGCAAGTAGTTGTTGCAATCTCCAATTAAAAGTTGTTGCAAGCATCAGCGGTGAGTCCTTTGGCCCGTGCTGGCTGCGGCCAGGAGCGACAGGAATAACGGCAAACGCCAAGCACATAAAAGTGTTTTATAAACATAAATGATTAAACAAAGTTGGATGAAACCGCTCGCCACACAGCAGCAACTGTTGCTGCCAAAGAAACTGTGTGGCAGTTAGAAACAGAGCCATGTCCAAGCCATGCAGCAGGACAACTGCAGCAGATACTGCTTCAACTGATGCTGCTGTTGATGGATAATAGCCTTGCTTTGGCATTCGTCTGTCCCTCTGTCTGTCTGTGTTGGCTATGAAAATCCTTTTAACGTTTTGACTCTAATTAATTTTAATGATCTTATAAACGCACAGCAAGCACATAAAACTCAGTGGCAGCAGTAGCAGCAGCAGCAGCAGCGATGCCTGCCTGCCAATACGGAGCAGCAAGGAACACATAAATATATTATTATATGGTAGCATGTATTTCCAGAACAACTATCTAAACGAGAGCGCATTATCTAAAAAAACTGTTATAGAGAGCTGAAATGTTGAAGCTGCAATGCTCTATCAGAGCTGTAGATAGATTTGAATGGCCTCGTACAATGCATTGATTAACCTATATAAGCATATGTAATTAAATAACGTGGAAACAGAATAGTTGATTTATTCTGTGAGCCTGAATAAATCTTACTCTGAACCACAATGCTGCTTGAAATTAGAACAAGAATTCCATTTACTGAATTCTAATACGAAAGAAGTGCAGAATAGTAAAGACAATTAATTATTTAGATTGTCAAGTTAGTTAGAAGTTAAACTGTCTGACCCTAATAAAAGCTTGTGCTTATATAGAAAGTTTGGTAATGTTTCTTGGAGCTAAGTTATGTTTAGATATCTTAAGCAAAATAAGCTTGTCACCAGCTTTGGGGTTACTACTTACTTTCGGGTGAGCCTTCATAAATAATCAGAATCAGATTTAAAATCGTATCTCTGCAATACTTATAACATATCTATCTAGTTATACATTCAATTTCTTTATTATATGAAATGAAATTTTTAAGCTGAATACTGAGCTTAGCTATCTATAGGAAAATATGTTTATACAAATTCAAATTAGGTTGCCCATCAAAGAAGTTTATGCTGGGCATTACACATTGCTTAGCACTATTAATATGCCACATTGTTAGTGTATAATAAATAAATATTATCACGAGAAATAAGAAATAAAGGAATAAAGGCGAAGCAAACAACGATTTCTGTCCATATTTTGTAGCTTAGAATGCCATGTCGCAGGGTTTTGGCCAATTCCATTTAATTTAATTTAATAGCTTTGCGCTTTTTGTCATTTGCTGGCGCAGACCACAGCGCGCATTTTGTATGAGGCGCTGCGTACATGTCCTTCTAGCAGCTGCCGTTCGTCCTTGCGTGCGGCGGGCTTTAAAGCCAATTGGCTGCCTTCCGTATGGTCGCTCTATCTTGTCTCTGTCTCTCTCTAGTTTTGTGTATATGTGGCTGTGGTCATAGCTGTTGATATTGTTGTTATTGCAGGCAACAAGCGAGCATCTTCTTTTAATCCTTGATGTCCTGTTGCTGCGCCCTTGCCAACTGCCATCCCATTTAGCTGACTGTGACGCAAATCCTTGTGCAACAGCGGTCGCCTTTTCATCAGTCCGCCACTCGCTCTTAACAAGTTTTTAACAATATTATTTTTTTTAATTATGGTTTTCATAAAAAATTCTTTTGTTGATTTATTAGACAAAGGGCGGCACTCTTGGGGCGCACACAGCTTTATTAAAGTAGCAATCAAAATGTGGCAGCATACCGAAGGCTAAAAAAAGCAAGTTTAAGTGTTCTAGTTGGAGAGATACCCTGTCTGCTGCTAACATGCTAGAAAGATTTTGTTGGCTTCGCTGTGGAGTAATTCTACAAAAATATAGTGTTCATGCTCATCAAATATATATATATATATATATTTATATAAATATATACATATATATATATATATATATATATATATATATATATATATATATTTATATATATAATATCGATCTTCTGAAAGTCTTACACTCCTTTCTGATATAAAAAGATGTATGCCAAAAGGTTCCCTCTGTCACTAAATATAATAACCATATGCAATGCGAGCATTCCAAGCACACACACATACACATACGCAGTTAGACGTGTCAAGCAAAAAAATTTAATTAAACAAATCAACGCAAAGCCAAACCGAAAAATTAGTGTGCCCTTTAAATATTACGTATACGCAGCGTTGAAATGTGGGAAAAAAAAACTGAACATACAAATTTTTATTAATGCATGCATTTCTTTCTTTTTATAGCGAGGATTACTATGGCGATGTAGACCTCAAAGCTTTAAAGAAATTGGGCTTTTAAATAAAACAAAACAAAAAATATATAAAGCACACAAAAGCCAAGGCAAATATCCTGAAATCGTGGCGTAATGAGCAAGAAGCCAGCAGCCAGGAGCCAGGAGCGAGTAACCAGAAGAAGCCGCCATAATAGCGGGTTGAAAAGGCTTGCCACACAGCGTTAAGTATGCATAAAGAATATTAAGAAATACACACACACACACACACACAGCCACACACACACACGTATTGTTAAACAGTTGACTTTAAAGACTGAACAAAAGTAGAGACAGCGAAGCCTTAAAAAACAATAACAAACGCAATGAAAGAGCCCAGAAACCCGCATAATGAAAGCAAATTGAATAACTACAAAGTATTTAGTAACCAAGACAATAGATTAAAGACAAAAACCCAAAACCTAAATCTGTAGAATATATTGTTAAAGGCATATATTTGGCTTCGCGAGCATGCGGAAACCACAGCAAAGTCCTAGTTATTACAAGAGCCAAAAGTTAAAGCAGTAAATGGAAGCAAAGTCAAATGAAAACTTAACTTATTAACCAAATGTCAAAGAAATAAACATAAACAAATACACAGCCGAAGCACATGCATTGTATATATAGCTGCGAAATTATATCATTAAGTTTTATTGCAAATAAAAATAAAAATATACTGAAAATGAAAACATGAGTATTTTTTTAAAGAGAAAAGGCTTTCATATGTGAAAATGTATTTAAGTTGAAAAATATATAACTATATGTATAAATATTGATAAATAAATAAATTAAAAAATGTATGAAGTTCTCTACAGGAAACACATTAATATGCCATAAATTAATACAGTTAAAATAATTTAACTTAATTATAATGTAAATATTTATGAAACTCTCAAGTTTTGAGATTTTCTGTATCTCTCTTTAATCTCACCTCTCCAATTACATGCCTTGAAAATCAATGGCAGCAGAGTTCATATCTTTTTAGGAGATAAAAAACTTTAAATAAAATGCAGCATAGATCGCTGAAGCTCATCTGAATCTACAGCTTCACACCAGCAGCTGCCTCAATAAGTGTCATAGCCCCAAATGAATATCTTCCACAGTTTTCTAAAAAATATCACATATATATATCCAAATCTTACTCTTACTGCTTTTCACGTTGCAACTTGAAAACTAATGGTCAGAGCCTTTGCAATGGCATAATCAAAAGTAAATATTTCCACTCTATATAGCTGCATATCGATTAAAGGCTTAGCTGCTGCAGCTATGAATTATTTGCCTTGTAGTTGGGCTGAGCCTCTTGTTTGCAGCACAGATGCAGCGTAAAGCAAATAATTTAATCAGTCGAACAAGCTGCCAGCCCTGACTGTCTGAGGCTAGGCTCACAATTTATAGCAGAACTTTAATGCAAAATTTACTGGGCAGTAAGAGCAAACAACCGCAAGAGAGTAAAAGACAACACGCATACGCACTGTTTGCCGAACAAATGCCTTAAACCAAAAAACAAGTAAATAAACAAAACATGCTAGATAGCACACACACACGCACACAAATTGATAATTATTGAAAGAAGAGCCAAAGCAGCAGCAGTGACCTCTGCCACACACACACACAGACAGGGAGATACTGTAACGATGCACTGGTGTAACATTAGCCAACGAAAAGATTGAATAGCAGCAGCAGCGGCAGCAGCAAGAGACGACAACGACTGCATGTTGCATGCAGCAGGCGTGTGTGCAACAATGCAGCCAGCTGGAGAGTGCATGTGTGTGTGTCTATTTATACACAAAAGAGACATGCTGTTGCATGTTAATTGAAATCAATAAGTGCAGCACACACATGCACAGCGTTCGATATGTGTGACACTGGCTTTAATGGCAGCCAGGAGCAACAGCAACAGCAGCAGCAGCAGCAGCAGGAGCAACATCACAATGGTTAGTTATCGAAGTGAATGTGGTAAAGTAAATTATTTGCACAACGGCTAATGACAACAGCAACAACAACAACAACAACAACATGTTGTGGAAAAACCAACAGCAACAACTGGGACTACGTCCTTTGGCCAGCATTCGCATATCCTTTTGTATTTATTATTTAGACAGGCGGCAGTTACTTTGCCCATTGCCAGCTGCTACAGTTGGCAACATTGGCCAGACGTAAATTATGCATTGTTATATTTAGAAATTTTTACCTAAAACTGACTTTTACTTGCTGCCATTCGAGGCTCCACTGCTGATGTTGCTGTTGCTGTTGCAATGGCAATTACCGAGCCGCCAACGGAGGCACACAACTGCCGCAATGCAGTCGCATGTAGTTGCTGCTGCAAATGGCTCGTATAACGTGCAAAAACTGCAACTGCAACAACAGCAACAGCAACAACAACAACGAGGGGCACAACACACACTCGAGCAGCGAAAGGAAATTATGCTTGCAATAACATTTACATGCTTGTACGAGTATGCGAGTGTGTCTGTATGTGTGTGTGTGTGCCAAATTTATACGCCAATTGCTGCTTGCCACAGTCAAAGCAGAGGTCAAATTTTCATTTCAGCACAACAACAGCATCAACTTGCCACAATTTTGTTACTAGTTAGAGAGTTTTAGGTTATTCAAAACTCGACTTCAATCCTAACAATAAGCAATTAAGTTAACTTAAAAATTAAAATAAAGTTTGTCAAAAAATATATAAGAATATTGGATTATAAGTCAGCATGGGGAACGATCTACGGATAAGGTAAGTTGGGCAAGTGCTAATCGAAAAGGCATTGCGTATACGCCCCATGGCTGCAACTGCTGAGTATTTAAGTCATTTGGTATTATTTTTCAAGCAGTAGCTGCAAGCTGAGCACAAGCTGCAAGCTGTGCTTATCAATGACACAACAGGCCAGGTTGAGGTCCTGGCTCCGATGCTGAAGCGTAAGCCGTCATTCAAAGTGGGACACTTGAGTCTGATGACGCCTCAGATTCAATAAAAATTGGCCTCCGCCGGTCATTGTTAAAGTGGGCACTAATGCGCTGCAGCCGGCAAGTGCCCTGCGTACTACTTATACACACAAGTGCCAGAAGCCACAAAAAGTGCCAAGAAATGAGCCAAATAAAAAAATTATATTCAGCTTGCAGCGTTGCTGGGCTGCTGCTGCTGCTGCGTAATGCAATGACAATGTGCTCAGTGCTCAGTGCTCAGTGCTTGGTGCTTGGTGTTCAATGTGCTTCGTGATGATGGCAACAACAACAAGCAGAACTACTTTAGTTCAGTTAGGCAGACTAGGAGATACCCTAAGCTAAGATTTTGATCAGCTTATGGAAGCAGTTGTTATAATTAGAGAAAGACTTTTAGCAATTTGGAACTTAACTTAAATAAAACTGAGGCAAAGACAACACAGTCTTTCAGCTCATATCTAAGTATTTGTTAGCTGTATTTTCTTTTAGAAGTGCATGCATAGGATATACCCCAGCTTCCTGTTCAATAGTGGCAGGGCAGCACGTTGACAAAGCGCGACCAGGCATTGCTTATTTTTATTTGCCTGGCCAGGACTAATGCCCAACACCAACAGCAGCAGCAACAGCAACAGCAGCAGCAGCAGCAGCTGCAACAACAAGCAATGCGCTCTAACGCCCTTATCCCTTATCCTGGTAACGACTTTCCCGCTGCTTCGTCTGCTGCGCTTTTGCGGTTGACCGCATTTGCTGTGCAAAAAAAAATCTGTTGCTGCCAAAGTATGGCCAATGTAGAAGCTGTTGGCTATTGGCTAGCAGCTCGCAGCTCGCAGCTCTCAGCTACCAAGCCGTGAGCTGCTCTTGACCGAGTGGAGCTATAAATATCTGCGATAGCGAAATGCAATTACGTGGCAACAATGAATACAGCAGCAGCGATTGCTCGCTTGGCCGCTGTTGTTAGCCCCATTCCCATTCCCATTCCCATTTTCATTTCCTTTCGCTGTCCCTCTTACCCCTTGGCCATTCGCATTGCTCGATACCAATGGCCAGATGGCTTGAGTGAGGGAGGGGGTCTGGGCCCACATCCGGCAATTGACAATGATGATGTGTACGTAGTTTTTTGTCTTCGCTGCTGCTCTTTATGCGAAGTACGAAGGACCCTTTGCTGCGGCATGGGGCAATAGCGCAACTGTATATGGCATTTGTGCTACAACATTTTGCTGCATTGTCCGAGCCGCAACTCAAATGCCAAGCATTGGTCCAGTCTCAGTCGCCGTCTTCAGTTTCAGTTTCAGTTTCATTCTCAGTTCTAGTTTCTGCTCCCGTTTCGGGGGCAGCTACGTTTTGTGAATTTATGTGCGCTTTATAGAGAGTTCAATGGCAGCTATCATAAAATATTGAAAATGACACGCAGCAGCTGGGCGAAGATATTTGACAGCAGAGAGTGAAACGAGCGCGTGGGGGCAGCATTCCAATCTACTAGATTGTGCAAATATGTGATATAAGAACTGTGAATGTCCACTGCTAGCAACAGAGCCAGCATAAGGAGCTAATCTCAGCTGGCGTATCAAATCGCTTGCTATACTATCTGTACACATATTATGAGAGCTGGCGAACCAGTGTTGCAAAACTGTTTGCAAAGCAATCGATAGTGTTGATGTGGCTCAAGCTCTTCTAAGTCTTATTTAATCTTGTCTTGGCCCTTTCTTCACTTTAGTGAATAAGACATTAAAGAGATTACGTTTCTCTATTTCCGATAATTGTTTTATAATAATTCATACTGCCAGCTCGAGTCCTGGGTGCCCTTCTCAGCTGCAAACACTATCATTATCGAAGTTCTCTCCTCGCGCATCATACCCCTTGCCTTGTGGACTGTAAGTATCGTATACTTTATCTACAATTTGTGTAAAGTAAAGCTCACGGCGAACAATGGCGCACAAAGTAATTGCTAAGGACTCTCGTCCCCAACCGCTGCGCTGACCCCCGCACTCCCTGCTGACATCCTTGCCTTTTTTTGCTTTAGTCCGGGCAAATAACAAAAGTCGCTTGGCATTTTATACGCTTTGCTATTAACTCAACGCATACCGAAAAACAGTCGCAGACAAGCTCCGATTGTCGCGACCGTCGGACACATTCCACGTAGGGTGTATCCTCTCCCTCTTCCTCTGCCTCTGCTCGCTCTCGCTCTCTCTTCTCTTGCCTATTTCAGCGCCAAACTATGTACCATAAAAAGGCAATTTTTCTAGTTGTCAACGGCAATAGCGTGGCTTAAATTACGGGCCCGGCCAGCGGATGCCGATTGGCTGACAGTTAACACCCCAGCCGCATAATTACATACTACGTACTGCACTACGAACTGGCCTGAGGGGCCATGGCAGAGTGGCCAGTGGTGGGAGGGCGGCGGGTTTTGGAGCAATTGTAAGTCATTTGAAAACAATTTTGATTATATTTTTTCCAAGCGATTTCACAAATCCGTTTTATGCTAAGGCGTACAGCAAAATGTGCGTTTGCTTATGGGTAGTTAACAACATGCCCCATAATAATAACATACATTTGCTTGAAGACCCCAGCACCCACTCACACACACACGCACACACATTCTCCGACGAAATGTTTGCTGTAAACGACCTTAAAAAAACCGAAGGCAGAAAAACAAACAAAATTGCCTGCGCATAGTATAAAAAAGAGAAAGATGAAA